TGGACGCAGGGCTCCAGGGGAGGTCTCCCCAGAGCAGAGCAGAGGGGCACAATCCCCTCCCTCGACGCTGGCCACGCTTCTCCTGCTGCAGCCCAGGGTAGGGTTGGCTTCTGGGCTGCCAGCGCCCATGGCCGGCTCATGTCCAGCTTTTCATCCCCCAGCACCCCCAAGTCCCTCTGGGCAGGGCTGATTTTTTTTTAATTAAAGGGAATATTTTCTTTTTATGGGGGAAAAAAAACAGAAACAAAAAACAAACAAGCACATCAAGAAATGCTATACTGAAAGAGTACTCTGGTTTTGCACTGGCCTTTCCAGTTTGAGCCATCTTATCACCATGCACTGTGCTGCCTCACGCATGCCTCCTCCAGCCTCACCTTCTTTTGCAGAACCCTTGACATGATCCCAGCAGCCGCCTAGCCATGTGCTGCTCAAGATCCCTAACAGAGGGAGTCCAGCTGCCACATTGGGTCAGTGGAGACTTGCTTCCCACCCATAGAGGCAGTGAGGCAGGTCCCGCAGTCCATGGCCGTGCTCCAATCCACTGTGACAACGGGAGCTCGGTGTCTTCCCAGGGAAAGGCAGCTCTCCAGAACCTTTTCCTCACCATTTAACTTAAAAATTACTCCCCCAGTAGAAGAACACGTCAACATATAGTTGCCCTCGGAGTCAAAAGCAAAAAGCCTTCCTCGTGGGAATTGGACTTGCTTGTAGCCACTATACCCAGACAGAACAAAAGGACCTGTAGCTTCACTGGGAAGATCGTACTCGGACACCTTCAAGCCACTTTTGTGAATATTCCACTGAATAAACTTACAGCGTATGACAGCGTATTCCTCTCCTTGGGCATGCCGAAGGCCATCTCTTCAGCAGCAGCCTCAAGACAGAGGGATTGATCCCGTCCAGGTTTACTGGGTGCTGCTTAATTCACCAAATTTTGGTATTGCTCCGCGGGTCTTAACAGATTATTTCAGTGGGACTTTTTCTTTTGAACTTCACTTGCTGTGTCCCTCGGTTCTCAGGAACAGTAATTCCATGTTTCACTCCGGTCGGTGCTTCTCTCGGTGGCCGTCCATCCCCGCCCCCAGCCCATTATTAGGGCAGGGCAGGCAAAAAGAGCAAAACCTCCTTATCCTTGCTTCTGGAGTAACTCCCAGTTTGAACCACTAAGGCCCACAGGCGCAGCTGGTGCGGGGCTTGGGGGAGGGTGTTGGTACAGAATAAAGTTCAAACCACAGTGGAGGGCTGGGATTTATCTTGCTGTGCTCTGCAAAGGAAAGAAATTACATTTAATGCAGGAGTGTTAATAAGTAGTTTCCTTCCGGGCTGCGGAAGTCTTGAGGGTAGATGGAACTTTGATAGGTAACGAGTCCTCTGCTGGCACGGAGTGGCAGGGAGGTGCTGCACGAAGCAACAAACAGCCTGAAATACCCGCAGTGCCCGATCTGCGGAGCTCCTTATTTGGAGAAAGGGAACTTGCAGGTAAAAATTGATGTAATGGTTTGGTTTGGGTTTCTTAATGGAAGTTGTGCAATGTGTTAATACTGTGGGAATACGCAGAGACTGCAATCAAAATGTGGGCTCATAATCATGGTGCTGTGCAAACCTGGGGCATGGGACTGATGATGCATTCTCCTGGAGAAGCTGGCAGCTCATGGCTTGGGCAGGCGTACTCTTCGCTGGGTAACAAACTGCCTGATGGCCGAGCCCTGAGAGCGGTGCTCAGTGGAGTTCAACCCAGCTGGTGGCCGGTCCCAAGCGGTGTCCCCCAGGGCTCAGCGCTGGCCCCAGCTCTGTTTAACATCTTTATCCATGACCTGGGCGAGGGGATCGAGGGCACCCCCAGCCAGTTTGCAGATGGCACCGAGCTGGGGGGGAGTGTGGATGTGCTGGGGGGGAGGGGGGCTCTGCTTATCACTCCCTACAACTGCCTGAGAGGAGGGGGGAGCCGGGGGGGTCGGGCTCTGCTCCCAGGGAAGGGGCGATGGGACGAGGGGCAGCGGCCTCAAGTTGTGCCAGGGCAGGGTGAGGTTGGCCATGGGGAACAATTCCTTCCCCTTGGGGCTGTCAGGGGCTGGAAGGGGCTGCCCAGGGAAGGGGTCGAGTCCCCAGCCCTGGGGGGATTTAACAGCTGG